GAGTGTAACAGTGACTGTAGAAGGGTGGGAGAGTGTAACAGTGACTGTAGGAGGGTGCGAGAGTGTAACAGTGACTGTAGGAGGATGGGAGAGTGTAACAGTGACTGTAGGAGGGTGGGAGAGTGTAACAGTGACTGTAGGAGGGTGGGAGTGTGGCAGAGACTGTAGGAGGGTGGGAGAGTGTAACAGTGACTGTAGGAGGGTGGGAGAGTATAACAGTGACTGTAGGAGGGTGGGAGTGTGACAGTGACTGTAGGAGGGTGGGAGAGTGTAACAGTGACTGTAGGAGGGTGGGAGAGTGTGACAGTGACTGTAGGAGGGTGGGAGAGTGTAACAGTGACTGTAGGAGGGTGGGAGAGTGTAACAGTGACTGTAAGAGGGTGGGAGTGTGACAGTGACTGTAGGAGGGTGGGAGAGTGTAACAGTGACTGTAGGAGGGTGGGAGAGTATAACAGTGACTGAAGGAGGGTGGGAGTGTGACAGTGACTGTAGGAGGGTGGGAGAGTGTAACAGTGACTGTAGGAGGGTGTGAGAGTGTAACAGTGACTGTAGGAGGGTGGGAGAGTGTAACAGTAACTGTAGGAGGGTGGGAGAGTGTAACAGTGACTGTAGGAGGGTGTGAGAGTGTAACAGTGACTGTAGAAGGGTGGGAGAGTGTAACAGTGACTGTAGGAGGGTGGGAGAGTGTGAGAGTGACTGAAGGAGGGTGGGAGTGTGAGAGTGACTGTAGGAGGGTGGGAGAGTGTAACAGTGACTGTAGGAGGGTGTGAGAGTGTAACAGTGACTGTAGGAGGGTGGGAGAGTGTAACAGTGACTGTAGGAGGGTGGGAGAGTGTAACAGTGACTGTAGGAGGGTGCGAGTGTGACAGTGACTAAAGGAGGGTGGGAGTGTGACAGTGACTGTAGGAGGGTGGGAGTGTGACAGTGACTGTAGGAGGGTGGGAGTGTAACAGTGACTGAAGGAGGGTGGGAGTGTGACAGTGACTGAAGGAGGGTGGGAGTGTGACAGTGACTGTAGGAGGGTGGGAGAGTGTAACAGTGACTGTAGGAGGGTGTGAGAGTGTAACAATGGCTGTAGGAGGGTGGGAGAGTGTAACAGTGACTGTAGGAGGGTGGGAGAGTGTAACAGTGACTGTAGGAGGGTGACAGTGTAACAGTGACTGTCGGAGGGTGGGAGAGTGTAACAGTGACTGTAGGAGGGTGGGAGAGTGACAGTGACTGTAGGAGGGTGGGAGAGTGTAACAGTGACTGTAGGAGGGTTGGAATGTAACAGAGACTGTAGAAGGGTGGGAGAGTGTAACAGTGACTGTAGGAGGGTGGGAGAGTGTAGCAGTGACTGTAGGAGGGTGGCAGTGTGACAGTGACTGTAGGAGGGTGGGAGAGTGTAACAGTGACTGTAGGAGGGTGGCAGTGTGACAGTGACTGTAGGAGGTTGGGAGAGTGTAACAGGGACTGTAGGAGGGTGGGAGAGTGTAACAGTGACTGTAGGAGGGTGGGAGAGTGTAACAGTGACTGTAGGAGGGTGGGAGAGTGTGACAGTGACTGAAGGAGGGTGGGAGTGTGACAGTGACTGTAGGAGGGTGGGAGAGTGTAACAGTGACTGTAGGAGGGTGTGAGAGTGTAACAGTGACTGTAGGAGGGTGGGAGAGTGTAACAGTGACTGTAGGAGGGTGGGAGAGTGTAACAGTGACTGTAGGAGGGTGTGAGAGTGTAACAGTGACTGTAGAAGGGTGGGAGAGTGTAACAGTGACTGTAGGAGGGTGCGACAGTGTAACAGTGACTGTAGGAGGATGGGAGAGTGTAACAGTGACTGTAGGAGGGTGCGAGAGTGTAACAGTGACTGTAGGAGGATGGGAGAGTGTAACAGTGACTGTAGGAGGGTGGGAGAGTGTAACAGTGACTGTAGGTGGGTGGGAGTGTGGCAGAGACTGTAGGAGGGTGGGAGAGTGTAACAGTGACTGTAGGAGGGTGGGAGAGTATAACAGTGACTGTAGGAGGGTGGGAGTGTGACAGTGACTGTAGGAAGGTGGGAGAGTGTAACAGTGACTGTAGGAGGGTGGGAGAGTGTAACAGTGACTGTAAGAGGGTGGGAGTGTGACAGTGACTGTAGGAAGGTGGGAGAGTGTAACATTGACTGTAGGAGGGTGGGAGAGTGTAACAGTGACTGTAAGAGGGTGGGAGTGTGACAGTGACTGTAGGAGGGTGGGAGAGTGTAACAGTGACTGTAGGAGGGTGTGAGAGTGTGACAGTGACTGTAGGAGGGTGGGAGAGTGTAACAGTGACTGTAGGAGGGTGTGAGAGTGTAACAGTGACTGTAGGAGGGTGGGAGAGTGTAACAGTGACTGTAGGAGGGTGGGAGAGTGTAACAGTGACTGTAGGAGGGTGTGAGAGTGTAACAGTGACTGTAGAAGGGTGGGAGAGTGTAACAGTGACTGTAGGAGGGTGCGAGAGTGTAACAGTGACTGTAGGAGGATGGGAGAGTGTAACAGTGACTGTAGGAGGGTGGGAGAGTGTAACAGTGACTGTAGGAGGGTGGGAGTGTGGCAGAGACTGTAGGAGGGTGGGAGAGTGTAACAGTGACTGTAGGAGGGTGGGAGAGTATAACAGTGACTGTAGGAGGGTGGGAGTGTGACAGTGACTGTAGGAAGGTGGGAGAGTGTAACAGTGACTGTAGGAGGGTGGGAGAGTGTAACAGTGACTGTAAGAGGGTGGGAGTGTGACAGTGACTGTAGGAGGGTGGGAGAGTGTAACAGTGACTGTAGGAGGGTGGGAGAGTGTAACAGTGACTGTAGGAGGGTGGGAGAGTGTAACAGTGACTGTAAGAGGGTGGGAGTGTGACAGTGACTGTAGGAGGGTGGGAGAGTGTAACAGTGACTGTAGGAGGGTGGGAGAGTGTAACAGTGACTGTAAGAGGGTGGGAGTGTGACAGTGACTGTAGGAGGGTGCGAGAGTGTAACAGTGACTGTAGGAGGATGGGAGAGTGTAACAGTGACTGTAGGAGGGTGCGAGAGTGTAACAGTGACTGTAGGAGGATGGGAGAGTGTAACAGTGACTGTAGGAGGGTGCGAGAGTGTAACAGTGACTGTAGGAGGGTGCGAGAGTGTAACAGTGACTGTAGGAGGATGGAAGAGTGTAACAGTGACTGTAGGAGGGTGCGAGAGTGTAACAGTGACTGTAGGCGGATGGGAGAGTGTAACAGTGACTGTAGGAGGGTGGGAGAGTGTAACAGTGACTGTAGGAGGGTGGGAGTGTGGCAGAGACTGTAGGAGGGTGGGAGAGTGTAACAGTGACTGTAGGAGGGTGGGAGAGTATAACAGTGACTGTAGGAGGGTGGGAGTGTGACAGTGACTGTAGGAAGGTGGGAGAGTGTAACAGTGACTGTAGGAGGGTGGGAGAGTGTAACAGTGACTGTAAGAGGGTGGGAGTGTGACAGTGACTGTAGGAGGGTGGGAGAGTGTAACAGTGACTGTAGGAGGGTGGGAGAGTGTAACAGTGACTGTAGGAGGGTGGGAGAGTGTAACAGTGACTGTAAGAGGGTGGTAGTGTGACAGTGACTGTAGGAGGGTGGGAGAGTGTAACAGTGACTGTAGGAGGGTGGGAGAGTATAACAGTGACTGTAGGAGGGTGGGAGTGTGACAGTGACTGTAGGAGGGTGGGATAGTGTAACAGTGACTGTAGGAGGGTGGGAGAGTGTAACAGTGACTGTAGGAGGGTGGGAGAGTGTAACAATGACTGTAGGAGGGTGGGAGAGTGTAACAGTGACTGTAGGAGGGTGGGAGTGTGACAGTGACTGTAGGAGGGTGGGAGAGTGTAACAGTGACTGTAGGAGGGTGTGAGAGTGTAACAGTGACTGTAGGAGGGTGGGAGAGTGTAACAGTGACTGTAGGAGGGTGGGAGAGTGTAACAGTGACTGTAGGAGGGTGTGAGAGTGTAACAGTGACTGTAGAAGGGTGGGAGAGTGTAACAGTGACTGTAGGAGGGTGGGAGAGTGTGAGAGTGACTGAAGGAGGGTGGGAGTGTGACAGTGACTGTAGGAGGGTGGGAGAGTGTAACAGCGACTGTAGGAGGGTGTGAGAGTGTAACAGTGACTGTAGGAGGGTGGGAGAGTGTAACAGTGACTGTAGGAGGGTGGGAGAGTGTAACAGTGACTGTAGGAGGGTGGGAGTGTGAGAGTGACTAAAGGAGGGTGGGAGTGTGACAGTGACTGTAGGAGGGTGGGAGTGTGACAGTGACTGTAGGAGGGTGGGAGTGTAATAGTGACTGAAGGAGGGTGGGAGTGTGACAGTGACTGAAGGAGGGTGGGAGTGTGACAGTGACTGTAGGAGAGTGGGAGAGTGTAACAGTGACTGTAGGAGGGTGTGAGAGTGTAACAATGACTGTAGGAGGGTGGGAGAGTGTAACAGTGACTGTAGGAGGGTGGGAGAGTGTAACAGTGACTGTAGGAGGGTGACAGTGTAACAGTGACTGAAAGAGGGTGGGAGTGTGACAGTGACTGTAGGAGGGTGGGAGAGTAACAGTGACTGTAGGAGGGTGGGAGAGTGTAGCAGTGACTGTAGAAGGGTGTGAGAGTGTAACAGTGATTGTAGGAGGGTGGGAGAGTGTAACAGTGACTGTAGGAGGGTGGGAGTGTGACAGTGACTGAAGGAGGGTGGGAGTGTAGCAGTGACTGTAGGAGGGTGGGAGTGTAACAGTGACTGTAGGAAGGTGGGAGTGTAACAGTGACTGTAGGAGGGTGGGAGTGTAAGAGTGACTATAGGAGGGTGGGAGTGTAACAGTGACTGTAGGAGGGTGGGAGTGTAACAGTGACTGTAGGAGGGTGGGAGAGTGTAACAGTGACTGTAGGAGGGTGGGAGTGTAACAGTGACTGTAGGAGGGTGGGAGTGTAAGAGTGACTATAGGAGGGTGGGAGTGTAACAGTGACTGTAGGAGGGTGGGAGTGTAACAGTGACTGTAGGAGGGTGGGAGAGTGTAACAGTGACTGTAGGAGGTACAGACAGTACCTAGGGGTGTAGTCGAGGTAGCTAAGTCCTGGCTGGACCTGGATGCGGTGCCTCTCCACCTCCACGGTGTCGAGTGTGTTGTTAAAGTACCAGGTGAAGCGGAGGTCGTCCTCGGGCTTGGCGTCTACGCGACACGCCAGGCGGACGTCGTCCCCCTCCACCACCGTCACCGTCTGCGGCCCGTCCACGCACACCGGCAGGTCTGTGCCCAAGGAAACACACATTGGTTAAGGGTACACGTGGGTGGTGTCTACACGTGGGTGGTGTCTTCGTGTGGGTGGTGTCTACACGTGGGTGGTGTCTGCGCGTGGGTGGTGTCTACGCGTGGGTGGTGTCTACGTGTGGGTGGTGTCTACGCGTGGGTGGTGTCTACGTGTGGGTGGTGTCTACGCGTGGGTGGTGTCTACGTGTGGGTGGTGTCTACACGTGGGTGGTGTCTTCGTGTGGGTGGTGTCTACGCGTGGGTGGTGTCTACGTGTGGGTGGTGTCTACGCGTGGGTGGTGTCTACGTGTGGGTGGTGTCTACGCGTGGGTGGTGTCTACGTGTGGGTGGTGTCTACGCGTGGGTGGTGTCTACGCGTGGGTGGTGTCTACGCGTGGGTGGTGTCTACGCGTGGGTGGTGTCTACACGTATGTGGTGTCTACGCGTGGGTGGTGTCTACGCGTGGGTGGTGTCTACGCGTGGGTGGTGTCTACGCGTGGGTGGTGTCTACACGTATGTGGTGTCTACACGTATGTGGTGTCTACACATGGGAGGAGTCTACACGTGGGTGGTGTCTACGCGTGGGTGGTGTCTACGCGTGGGTGGTGTCTTCGTGTGGGTGGTGTCTACACGTGGGTGGTGTCTTCGTGTGGGTGGTGTCTACACGTGGGTGGTGTCTACGCGTGGGTGGTGTCTACGCGTGGGTGGTGTCTACACGTGGGTGGTGTCTTCGTGTGGGTGGTGTCTACACGTGGGTGGTGTCTACGCGTCGCTGGTGTCTACGCATGGGAGAAGTCTATGCGTGGGTGGAGTCTTCGTGTGGGAGGAGTCTACGCGTGGGTGGTGTCTACGCGTGGGTGGTGTCTACGCGTGGGTGGTGTCTTCGTGTGGGAGGAGTCTACGCGTGGGTGGTGTCTACGCGTGGGTGGTGTCTACACGTATGTGGTGTCTACACGTATGTGGTGTCTACACATGGGAGGAGTCTACACGTGGGTGGTGTCTACGCGTGGGTGGTGTCTACGCGTGGGTGGTGTCTTCGTGTGGGTGGTGTCTACACGTGGGTGGTGTCTTCGCGTGGGTGGTGTCTACACGTGGGTGGTGTCTACGCGTGGGTGGTGTCTTCGTGTGGGTGGTGTCTACACGTGGGTGGTGTCTTCGTGTGGGTGGTGTCTACACGTGGGTGGTGTCTACGCGTCGCTGGTGTCTACGCATGGGAGAAGTCTATGCGTGGGTGGAGTCTTCGTGTGGGAGGAGTCTACGCGTGGGTGGTGTCTACGCGTGGGTGGTGTCTACGCGTGGGTGGTGTCTTCGTGTGGGAGGAGTCTACGTGTGGGTGGTGTCTACGCGTGGGTGGTGTCTACGCGTGGGTGGTGTCTACGCGTGGGTGGAGTCTTCGTGTGGGAGGAGTCTACGCGTGGGTGGTGTCTACGCGTGGGTGGTGTCTACGCGTGGGTGGTGTCTTCGTGTGGGAGGAGTCTACGCGTGGGTGGTGTCTATGCGTGGGTGGTGTCTACGCGTGGGTGGTGTCTACGCGTGGGTGGTGTCTACGCGTGGGTGGTGTCTACGCGTGGGTGGTGTCTACGCGTGGGTGGTGTCTACGCGTGGGTGGTGTCTACGCGTGGGTGGTGTCTACGCGTGGGTGGTGTCTACGCGTGGGTGGAGTCTTCGTGTGGGAGGAGTCTACGCGTGGGTGGTGTCTACGCGTGGGTGGTGTCTACGCGTGGGTGGTGTCTACGCGTGGATGGTGTCTACACGTGGATGGTGTCTACACGTGCTTGGTGTCTACACATGGGAGAAGTCTATGCGTGGGTGGTGTCTACGCGTGGATGGTGTCTACGCGTGGGTGGTGTCTATGCGTGGGTGGTGTCTACGCGTGGGTGGTGTCTATGCGTGGGTGGTGTCTACGCGTGGGTGGTGTCTACGCGTGGATGGTGTCTACACGTGGGTGGTGTCTACACGTGCTTGGTGTCTACACATGGGAGAAGTCTATGCGTGGGTGGTGTCTACGCGTGGATGGTGTCTACGCGTGGGTGGTGTCTACGCGTGGGTGGTGTCTACGCGTGGGTGGTGTCTACGCGTGGGTGGTGTCTATGCGTGGGTGGTGTCTACGCGTGGGTGGTGTCTACGCGTGGGTGGTGTCTATGCGTGGGTGGTGTCTACGCGTGGGTGGTGTCTACGCGTGGGTGGTGTCTATGCGTGGGTGGTGTCTACACATGGGAGAAGTCTATGCGTGGGTGGTGTCTACACATGGGAGGAGTCTACACATGGGTGGTGTCTACACATGGGAGAAGTCTATGCGTGGGTGGTGTCTACACATGGGAGAAGTCTATGCGTGGGTGGTGTCTACACATGCGAGAAGTCTATGCGTGGGTGGTGTCTACACATGGGAGGAGTCTATGCGTGGGAGGAGTCTACGCATGGGTGGTGTCTACGCGTGGATGGTGTCTACACATAGGAGGAGTCTACACATGGGAGGAGTCTACGCATTAATAGAATCAACAGTCAGTTGAACCCTCCACTCTCCCACAGTCAGCTGAACCCTCCACTCTCTCCCTCCCACAGTGTCATTCAGAGCACTCTCGCCTCCCACAGTGTCATTCAGCGCACTCTGGCCTCCCACAGTATCCTTCAGCGCACTCTGGCCTCCCCCAGTGTCACTCGGGGCACTCTGGCCTCCCCCAGTGTCACTCGGGGCACTCTGGCCTCCCCCAGTGTCACTCGGGGCACTCTGGCCTCCCCCAGTGTCACTCGAGGCACTCTGGCCTCCCACAGTGTCATTCATTGCACTCTGGCCTCCCCCAGTGTCACTCGGGGCACTCTGGCCTCCCCCAGTGTCACTCGGGGCAATCTGGCCTCCCGCAGTGTCATTCAGGGCACTCTGGCCTTCCCCAGTGTTACTCGGGGCACTCTGGCCTCCCACAGTGTCACTCGGGGCACTCTGGCCTCCCCCAGTGTCACTCGGGGCACTCTGGCCTCCCACAATATCACTCGGGGCACTCTGGCCTCCCCCAGTGTCACTCGGGGCACTCTGGCCTCCCCCAGTGTCACTTGGGGCACTCTGGCCTTCCACAGTGTCACTCGGGGCACTCTGGCCTCCCACAGTGTCGTTCGGGGCACTCTGGCCTCCCACAGTGTCGCTCGGGGCACTCTGGTCTCCCCCAGTGTCACTCGGGGCACTCTGGCCTCCCCCAGTGTCACTCGGGGCACTCTGGCCTCCCCCAGTGTCACTCGGGGCACTCTGGCCTCCCTGAGTGTTACTAGGGGCACTCTGGCCTCCCCCAGTGTTACTCGGGGCACTCTGGCCTCCCCCAGTGTCACTCGGGGCACTCTGGCCTCCCCCAGTGTCACTCGGGGCACTCTGGCCTCCCCGAGTGTTACTAGGGGCACTCTGGCCTCCCCCAGTGTCACTCGGGGCACTCTGGCCTCCCCCAGTGTTACTAGGGGCACTCTGGCCTCCCCCAGTGTTACTCGGGGCACTCTGGCCTCCCCCAGTGTTACTAGGGGCAACACAACAAATTTACAGTTTTACCGAGGTCCTGCTGAAAAACATGGTGAAGATCATGGCAGAGACCATTATCAATTGTCTACGGGTGACGCAGAACGCCTCACAACAACAGACTCAAGAAATCACTTGTGTAATAATGGACAAGATCGTGCAGCAGACCACAGTAACACAAGAAGTAGACAGTCTGAGACAAGACGGAGCACAAGAGGATAAACAACGTGACATCTAGCCGGATGTCCGGCTAGATGTCACTGTTACACTCCCACCCCTCCTACAGTCACTGTTACACTCCCACCCTCCTACAGTCACTGTTACACTCCCACCCTCCTACAGTCACTGTTACACTCCCACCTTCCTACAGTCACTGTTACACTCCCACCTTCCTACAGTCACTGTTACACTCCCACCCTCCTACAGTCACTGTCACACTCCCACCCTCCTACAGTCACTGTTACACTCCCACCCTCCTACAGTCACTGTTACACTCCCACCCTCCTACAGTCACTGTTACACTCCCACCTTCCTACAGTCACTGTTACACCTTCTACAGTCACTGTTACACTCCCACCCTCCTACAGTCACTGTTACACTCCCACCCTCCTACAGTCACTGTTACACTCCCACCCTCCTACAGTCACTGTTACACTCCCACCCTCCTACAGTCACTGTTACACTCCCACCCTCCTACAGTCACTGTTACACTCCCACCCTCCTACTGTCACTGTTACACTCCCACCCTCCTACAGTCACTGTTACACTCCCACCCTCCTACAGTCACTGTTACACTTCCACCCTCCTACAGTCACTGTTACACTTCCACCCTCCTACAGTCACTGTTACACTCCCACCCTCCTACTGTCACTGTTACACTCCCACCCTCCTACAGTCACTGTTACACTCCCACCCTCCTACAGTCACTGTTACACTTCCACCCTCCTACAGTCACTGTTACACTCCCACCCTCCTACAGTCACTGTTACACTCCCACCCTCCTACTGTCACTGTTACACTCCCACCCTCCTACTGTCACTGTTACACTCCCACCCTCCTACAGTCACTGTTACACTCCCACCCTCCTACAGTCACTGTTACACTTCCACCCTCCTACAGTCACTGTTACACTCCCACCCTCCTACAGTCACTGTTACACTCCCACCCTCCTACAGTCACTGTTACACTCCCACCCTCCTACAGTCACTGTTACACTCCCACCCTCCTACAGTCACTGTTACACTTCCACCCTCCTACAGTCACTGTTACACTCCCACCCTCCTACAGTCACTGTTACACTCCCACCCCTCATACAGTCACTATTACAGAGCAGGAGGGAGCCGATCGGCCGAGCGGACAGCTCGCTGCACTTGCGATCCTGTGGTCCCGGGTTCGATCCCGGGACCACAGGATCACAAGAAAGAAACATTGCGAGAAACAATGGGCAGAGTTTTTTTCACCCTATGCTCCTGTTACCTAGCAGTAAAATAGGTACCTGGGTGTT